TTCACTGTACTTGGGCCTATTTGTAGCAGATGGCTGAAAATCTGGAACTTGTGTTCCCTCCTTTATTTTAGTAGAAGTGTCTGCCAGAGTTTGAGTGGAATGGAACTGTGGCTAGAATCGGGCTTAAGTCTCCCAGCTGAGGTGGGCGGGTAGCTCAGAGGTTAAGCATCTGCAAAATGTGGATGAAGTCCTGAACTCAATCCCTAGCAGCAGAAGAAAAAAGAAAAGAGAGCAAAATAGTTTTTACAACTATCAGTGGCTACTTTTTAAGGAAAAAAAAAAAGGATGAACATTGAAAGTAACATATGAAAAAGAAATATGAGATAAATGAAAGAAAAAAATAGTGTGAAGATAAGAAAAGATATAATAAAATAATAATATAGAGGTGAGAGAAAGAAGTCAAACTTTCTCCTGGCAGAAGTGGTCAGAAACAGTTTTCTCTTGTCTTTCATGTCATGGAGTTCAGGATCACTGAGCTAACCATGTCTTCGCCCCTCCTTGTCACAGCCCCCACAGCTCACAACATAAATTCCTGAAGGTTTGTGTCAGACACTCTTCCCAGCCACAACTGCCTTGTGTGGCTGGAACCTGGAAGTCAGTGCTGCAGAGGAGTCAAAGGGACTGTGATATTTGTGCTTATTCTGGGCTTTCTGACCCTGAGAGCAATTCAGGCTCCTACAGCAGAGCACTTCTCAAGACAGTTCCTACTATGATCCTCAGAGTTGGCTGAGAGAAGAAATGAATGACTTCTCTGGAGTGAATTCTTACACAGAATCCAGGTCACCTATTTGTCTGAAGTGTACAGCCTTCAGGACTATACTATGACTTTCTTTTCTGCCTTACTTGAGAAGCCCCTTGATCCAACCAATGTGCTAACCACCACATGCTGGGGTATTCTGTTTCTTTGCTTGGTTATCTTTCCTGGTCTGTAATTTTCACAAAGTTTTCTTTTCTGTTCTGTCAATTTCCAGTGTTCACTCACAAGCATTTACATCCTACAGTAGTTGCACACATGTTGCTTGGTTTGCATTGTCTGAAGGAACAAACCCATGCTGTGTATCTCTGCCTTCTCAGTTTGAGCCTGCCTCCCCATCTGCCACTTAAGTTTTAAAGGATGAAAACACATAACAGAATAACTCATAGACCCCATAAAAGTGTTGCTCATACATAGTGATTAAGTCATAAAGCTAGAAATATTTTACAAGGGAAGATGCAATTTTTGTTCTCAAACACTTAATAATTTTTTTAAGTGTAGGATCCCCAAATACTCATCATTAATAAATAATACCAAAGGAGACATCATTATTATATTTGTGATGAATCAAAAGTATGCCTGATTAGAACTTGGAGTGGTAAGAAATTCATAAAAATGAAACATTTCTGTTTGTTATTGAACATTTTGTTGAATTTGGAAAATTAAGATAAAGACAAGAAGGTATTTCAGACAGCAAAGAGCTGAGAATAAAGACCATAATTATGAACCTAAAACTGTGGAGATGTTATAAAGACAGCTCCATCCAGTACTATATGTACCTTTCCAGTAGCTCTTAACAGTTATTAAAATATCACATATTTCCTTTAAACATTACAAGTTTTATTTTAATCACATATAACACTGTTATTCCTAGGTACAATGCTATATCCAAATGTTACACTCTAGAGATAATAACAGTCACTTATGATTTAATAGAATATTAGAAAATATGGAAGAATCTATTAGCTATTTCTGATATTCATTCATTCTCCCTTTCTTCCTCAATAAAAATTGTCCTGTGTCTAAATTTGCAACACAGCCATATAGGGTCACCATGCAATATATTTAATTATTATGCAGTTAGGCTTATCTATGTTACAAATTCCTTTTAAAAAGGACACAGATAGAAGTGTTTCTCCTCAAGGGAAACTTCAGTCTCCATTATTATATTTTTGGTTGATATTCAGGGGTCTGATATCCAGGTGGTAGAGATGAAGAGATCTGTAATTTCTTGAGAATAAAGATGAAAGCTACATGTAGTGCAGTACAGCAGCAATTTAAAAGAAACATATGTGTGTAGCAAGGTATTGTGATTTTGTGTGTGTGTGTGTGTGTGTGTGTGTGTGTGTGTGTGTGTGTTTATACCTGTGGCATGCACAGCCAAAACTAATCTTAATGAATACAGGGGATAAAAATGTCCAGCCCCTTATCCTCATAGTATCTGAAAATGAGAAACTCTTTTTGTTGAAAATTAATGCATAGTTGTATCAGATATATGAAAGACATGAGGACATTATTTTAGCTTATCTCAATATCTAGAGATAAAATATATTTGTGTTCAATTATGAAAAGCTCTCATTACAAGTATCTTTGTCTAATGGTGCTGTATAAGTCCTATATATTTGTCTTTTTCTATAGTATAATAGCTCTGCTTCTTTAAATTCATTTATGCTTTTCTGGTAGAGCTCCTTGTGCATTTTTAATTCTATCTGACACCTACACTAATATCTGAATACCATGTCTTTAAGTAGTTCTCAAAATACGACAGCCATTTCAGACATTTTACTCTTCTAAATATTTTAAGCAAGTGTAGTGCATACATAAATATTTGGGGAAGTTCATTTATAGCCCCTTCAGTCACCAAGGAATATGAAAATTTTCTACATGTTGTACATTTGATGCCTAGAGTAAGAAAAAATTATACACATATAAACCTTGTGAAACATAGCTAAGCAATTCCAGTTTAATATCCATATGACATATGTGTCATGTGTGTTATGCATTATCAGTTTTTCACAAATAGTTATCGCATACATTTTTACCCGTCTATGGATAGATACACACACAAAGATTATTATAGGATAATGAAATAAGGAATAAAAATAAGAACTCTATCTAATATATCTAATATCTAAGAAACCAGTAATTCTTCCAGTTTTCAATGAACAGAAAGCTTCCTCTCTATTCATTTTACTACATGTTCTGGATTCATATGGTAAGACAAAGGCAACATATTTGAAGAAAAATGTAGAACAAAATAAGAACTGTTGTATGTCTGTTAGATGGGGCAGATTACTTTTAAAATACAACTTAGTTTGAAAATATCATGTAGAATTAAAGACAAATAAACGTGCTGCGGATGTGGCTCAGGTGTGGAGTACTTGCCCTAGTGGTAGAGTGAGACTCTGGATTCAATCTACAGTATCACAGAAATGATGAGAAAGAAGGGAATCAGGAGAAGAAAGGGGAAGAAGGAGAAGGAGAAGAGGAAGAGGAGAAGGAAGAGGAGAAGGAAGAGGAGGAGGATGGAGAAGAGGAGGAAAACAAGGAAGAGAAGAGAGGTGAAAGAGGAGGAAGGGGAGAGGGAAGAGGAAGCTGAGTGGGGTTGCACAAACCTGTATTCTCATTTAATTGGTAGTCCAAAAGAGAAAAATTCCAAGTTCAAGGCAAGCATGGGCAATGTCGCAAGATTCTGCATCAAAATAAAATCTATAAATGAAAAGGACTGCAGAAGCAGCTCAGTAGTAGAGCATTAGCCTAGCAGGGGCAACATGTTCAGTTTGATCCCCAGTACTACACAAAGCAAAAAGAACAACAAAAAAAGAGTAGAAGGAAAACAAGGAGAGGCTAATCTAGGGAGTGATGAGAAAAATCTTCCTGATTCTGCCCTGCAGAAAGAGAAGGTGTAGTAGCTGAGCAACAAACGGATGCCACCCAGAGATACTGAGATTCACTGATGAGGGCAAGGGCCTCTCAGGAGGAGGCGTTTTTTTCAAGAGTAGTAATGGAAGCTTATTTGGGCAAGAAAAAGTAAAATACATTGATGGATTGGAAGTCAGCTTTGCCCCTCCAGAAAAGATATCAATTATTTTCTAAAATAAATAGTAAATTTAGAGGTAAAAGGATGCTTTTCATTAGGCAGAAAACTACTTGCCAATTTTAGCTTTATCTTGTGATAAATAACATCAGTATAAAATGTCACTTCTATATCTGAAATACCATAATGTGGATAGGAAAAAAACATTATATCTGTGCAGCTTTCTTATATCTGGTAATCTGAGCAATTTATGTGACAATAACAATTTGCAGTATAACAACCACTGGTGAATGCCTACAACCCTTTCTAGTGAAACTATGTATTGTCTCTAATGTTCTTTTAAATTATTAGTTTCTTGTTCCCTTTAACGATTTGATCAATCTTCTGTTCTTACATCTGGTAATCTGAGCAACTTCGTTGAAGATCACAATATGTAATATAACAACCACTGTTAATCTCTATCATTTGGTTTGAAACCCCGTATCATTTTTAACGTCCTTGCTTTGTTTTATTTGCATTTTGCTACTGTTCTTTTTTTGTACTATTTTATTTAAATTTAAAAAAGAGAAAAAAAGAAAAATATTTAGAGAATTATCAGGAAATAGATGAGGTAGCATAATCCCAAAACTGTGGAGGAAAAGTTATTACAAAATATGTATCAATATACCTAGTATACCCATATATTTATTATTGTAATTATCATCCCTTCTGCTATTAACTCTTTGTGGTTAGGAGCTCTCTTATTACCCATTATTTGCTTCCATATTCCTTTGTATAGTCCTACACTTAGTAAGACTTAGGGGCCATATTTTATGTTTTCCACATGGTTAGATTTATTTAGTTTAGAGACCATGTTTTTGGAAATATTTGCCAATTAATTTAGTTTACCATTTTAGGTGTATAAGACAGCATGAATACATGCTACCATAGATATTCCATGAATTAAGGTAAATGAGTGTGACCTAAAAAGACATGTGTTCCCAACATAAAGAGTGTAAACAACTGTATGGAGAATTTTTTAAATGTTTAGAAATATACAGATCACATGTATCCACTTTTGTGAACCCAGGGCTACCTTTGACACTTTTCTTCTAAATAACCGTACAGTAGCAATAGTCTCGTGACTATGGACACAAATTGATAAGCTTAGGCTGTTTCCTTATAAAATTACAGAAGTTATAGATTTTTGTTAAAGCAAACTATTTTGTTTCATAAGAAACTTTTCTCAAGGATCTTATTTAGGGCAATTTTGACATCCTTATTCCTCACGCTGTAAATCAGAGGGTTCAGCATGGGCACAAGAATGGTGTAAAACACAGAGGACACTTTTCCTTGGTCCATGGAGCTGACTGAAGAGGGCTGCAGGTACATGAATGCTATAGAACCGAAAAATGTAGCAACAGCTGAGATGTGGGAGCTGCAAGTGCTGAAGGCTTTGAACCTGCCTTCAGTGGCACGAATGCGGAGGATGCTGGCTATTATGAAGATGTAGGAGGTGAAAATAGTCAGGGTAGGGATGAAGACATTAAAAGCACTGAAGCTCAGACCTACTACTTCATTGATGGAAGTATTGGAGCAGGAAAGTTCCAGTAATGGAAATAAATCACAAAAATAATGATTTATTACATAAGCATTGCAGAAAAGCACCCTCAGCATGCAGGCTGTGTGAGCAGTGGCACCTGTCAAGCCAATGCTGTACACTCCAGCTACCATCCAGCCACAGACTTGAGAAGACATGGTAACATGGTAAAGCAAGGGTCTACAGATGGCAACATAGCGGTCATATGCCATTGCAGCCAACATGTGACACTCCGCAATTGCAAATGTACTGAATAAGTAGAACTGAGCCATACATTCAGAAAAGGAGATGGCATTCTTCTCTGTCACGAAGTTCATCAGCATCTTGGGGGTAATAACAGTGGAATGGCAGAGGTCAATGAAGGACAGACTGCTGAGGAGATAGTACATGGGGGTGTGCAGGTGAGAACTGAGCCTGATCAGGGTGATCATGCCCAGGTTCCCCACCACTGTGAACACATAGATTCCCAGGAAGAGGAGGAAGAGGGGCAGCTGGAGCTCTGGTTTCTGAGTTAAGCCAGCGAGGATAAACTCAGTCACTGTGGAATGATTTACTTCTCCCATTTTCCTTTAGGAATTCTATTTAGGATTAATAACAAATTTTTGGTGAAAGCATTTATTATGCCATGAAACAATGAAGTGTGTAACTTTAGTCTTTTCAATGAGGTATCTCCAGGTTTCTTCCAGCTTCCCTTCTGTGTGGACTGTGAATGACCTTAAAATCTCAAACATATGGGACATGTCAGTAAGCATCTGAATTTAGCCCTACTTGTGATTCATACTATTTACATGGTTATTATTTGTACCCCCGTCCATGAACACCTGAAAAACTATTAGGATAACTTTGATTAAATGTCCCTGGAGCCTTCTTTGCCTTAATTGTAATCCTCTCTACTCTGCAGAGAAAAAAAAAAATTCATTGTCAAAATAATGGTAGCATTCCAAAAAAAGAACACTGTAATACAATATTTAGTGGCAAAAGGCTAAAGGACCTTCTCTTAAACTATGCATACTATCAAGAACTTAGATTTTGCCAAAAAAGAAATTATGAACTAATAGAAATTGGTAGTATAATTATCTTACTAATTTCTAATATGCAATACAATAATGGTTAATTTTCTATCACCTTGTTTTGAAATTCTGTATCATTTGTATGGTTTGTTTCTCTTTAAAATAAAAAAAGAAATTATGAAATTTATAGAAAATAGTAGTGAATGTGTATCCAACAATACTGATCTCAGAAATTAATGATTGTTTGTGCATGTGGGCTGATAATGAAATCAATTTAACAGTGGTAAGCAAATAGTTTGCTGTGGGTGTTGAGGAGAGAGAGATAAATAATACAGAATCCCTGCTTCCCAGAATGTTGCAGTCTATAAGGGGACAGAGAAGCAGCCTGGATAATGTGATAAATACTGTACTTGGCCAGGGTACACAGGAAGACAGCTGTTATGGTTCTAGTTTAGAAAGGAGGACAATGAAGATTTTTCAGAAAAGCTTAAGTCTGAAAGAATAAGTAGGAATAAGGTATCTTCACAGTATTCAAATTATGAAGCACTGCCTTAGCAGTTTTTCATGTTCAGAAAATATGGATCCAGAGAAAGACACCAAAACTCACAAATAATTTCAAAGCACTCATTAAAGAGTGTCCAAGCTAAGGGAAGTTGTTAACCCTCAAAATAAAACACATTTGATAGTTTGCCCTTAATTCTGATCCTGGGAGGTGAGTGAGTTATATGTCATCATGGTGGGTTTAAATTATAATTACACAGAAATATGAAGATTTAGATAAAAATAATTTATACCTACTTGCATCGTGACCAGTAGCACAAATTAAGATTGAATTTGTTGTATGCTATCTGAGAGAGTGAAGCTACAGTTGATGAAGTACATTTGGACTTACTGTCCAATCCCCTTGTGCTATGGTTTGTGTCCTCATGTCCACCAAAATCCTCATGCAGTAATGGGATGGACTTCTAGATTTTTGATTGCTCCATAGTCCAATGCTGGGATTATGGATGTGAGTGCTACACCCACCCTGGGGAGGATAGTTTGCATACAGTGTAAGGGAGGGAAAGAGGCTGCTTGCCACTGCTTCTACCTTTTGCTCTTGTTGCTTTTGCTATCTTTGGCCAGCATGAACTGTTCCCCTCTACCATGTGCCACTCTGCCTTGGAGCCAGCCAAGTATGGAGTGAAACCTCCACAAAGTGTAAGCTATATAAACTTTTCCTTCCTTAATTTTGGGCATCAGGTATTTTGCCTCAGCAACGAGAGAGAAGTAACTAAAACAACTTGACCATTAAATATTCCTGAAGATGTTAAATTATGAAAAAGAAAATATTATGTCTTCAAATATGTTATGGCAAAATATGCCTGATGCTCTTCAGGTAGCTTTAGGTTATCCTGCAGTGCTATTATGAAACATCTTCAGTATTCTGAGACTGAAAGTTGCAATTCAGGTACTCACTCTTTTTCTGCTTGACAACCTCAGTCCGGGTCATACATAAACTTTAGAATCGCTGCTCTCTAAGGAAGAGATCTTTTGATGACATTGCTGGTGTGAATTCAAAACAGAGACTCCTGATCACTCTTTTTCTTAGTAGAACAAAAGGCAGATCTCAAACCCTGAGGAGCTGACATACACATTAGCAGTTAAATGCCTCTATCAATTTCCTTATAGTGCTACTCAAGGTGTTTGGTGGTAAAATGATGTCTTTTTTAGGCAGAGTTTGTAAGAGTGTACATAAAAATATATAGAAGGATGCTCCCTCAAGAGTTTCTTTCACTAGGGATTTTCTTTTTTCATCCTGCATGTAACACTCTCATTAACTCTCTCTTGTATAATTTTCTGTCTCTTTTGAGGTAGTAGCAGTCATTAGGCTAACGGCTAGAAATTAAAGACATGATTCTAGCAGGCCTTTATGACAACAACTTCTTATATACAAATTGTTTTTGAAATATTTAAATCTATATCTTTTACCTTGGAGAACTAGCTGAGTATTTGTAATTATTAGTGGAAATTGCTCTTTAGAATTTGCAGGATGCTGTGTAGCATAACCTCACCAAAAGGGCTGAGTGTGAAAGGTGTTGACCTAAGAAACTTTGTAAATGAGTAGAAGTTGTAGGATTAAAGACAAAAAATGAACTGTATAATCACTGTACTTCAGTTGATAAAGTTGTGGATAAAAGTCATTCCCCATGGAGGTGTAGGTTGACAATTCTGAAACCACTGTACCAATACATTATGAATGAACAAAAACCAATAAATGGGAAGTAGATAATGGCAGCCAACTTTCTTGAAATGGCAGATTTCAGGTCAGCAATGGGAGATCTTAGAGTGAGCCATATAATACTGAATGCATGTAGGAAACGTCAGTAGGAACTGATGCTGAGCTCCATATATAAACACATAGACGTATGTGTATAAGTGTTAAAATGATGAGATCATGTTAAAGAGGCACAATAATTGAACAGGAAGACTTCCACTGGCCATGGCTGGAATAATGGAAAGTTTATAAAAGTTACAACTGATTGGGGGTTTCCAACTCTGCCCAGAAACAATGGGCTAACTCAAGGCTTCTCACTTTTTTATTTGAAGGCTTCAGACTGCATCCTGTCCAGTCTCTGCTCTGTTATTTCCTTAGACTCAAAATGAGCTAGATTCTGAGACCCAGGACTCTCTTCCAAGCCTGTACTGCAGAAAGGAAACTTCAGTGCTTTGATTGAGCTCGCAAGAGGCCAGGAACTGTGAGATCATTAGAAAGTTGTGTTGTTTCTCTCAAAGTCTTAAAAAATGCTGACTTTATCATTAAGGAAAAATAACTGGGTCTTAGTCATAAACACCATAGACTTTAATTGTACCAGGGTACATGTTCATATTAAGACTTCAATTTTCAAGGGGGTATATTCAAATACGGATAAGCCTAGTTACATTGAGTCTAAATTATTCTTAGTATCTGTCATTATGTGTAAATGATGTCTTTAACTCCTTTTCTATTATTGAACTAAAATCAGTTCCATTTATATGCAAAACAAACTTTGGCACACCCATCCACAGTGGTCAGATTTGCTCTCTGGTGCTCTTGAGCCACTTGCCTTCTTCTTATGGCTGGAAAGCGAGGTTCATTCTGTTATTTCCTGTTTTAATGCAGTGTTCACCCACCTGAAGTAGGCAGGAGTCTGTATTTCTTGTGAACTTTATGACACAGGTGGACCTCTAACACCTTCTATATACTCTTCTTTCAAGGAAAGGAAAAAAAGTTATTCTGTTATGTCATAAGTAGTACATAAACCAGGCAATACATAATGACATTTTGGTCAATGAGGGGTCATATATACAAGGCTGGCCCCTTAAGATTATATCACTAAGTCAGGTTGTAGCCATTAGTTAGTATAAGTATACTATATGATATTCACATAGTGAATAGATCAAGTATCATTGCTTCTCAGAAAGTATCCCATCATTAAGCAATGTGGAGCACTACTTCAGGCTTTCGGTTTCACTTGCACCAAAAGACTGTGCAAATCCACAGGTTGTTCAGCTCCTAATTTCCTCCCACTTATAAAGAACTGGTATTTATATGAACTCATTCTCAGTCACTATCTAGTTTCAGTGAATTTCTGTGAGGATATGGTACAATTTGTAAGTCCTGTTTTGCAGATTAAAAAGGTAAAATTCAGCGAATGTTAGATTTTTTTTCTCTTCAGCTGGGTTTGGAGTTAGGATCTGTGGAAAAATTTTGTTTTATAATTTCAATTACTTTAATGGATATGGGTTTAGTCACGTTATCTATATCTTCTTGAATAAATTCTGGTAATTTGTGGCTCACAGAAATTAGTTTTCTGTAATATATGCTATCCTAGGTGTAGGCCTGGCTTCTGTGATTCTAGTCTTAGTGTCACTTCCTTCCTGTTTAGAAGAATCTGCAGGGCTCTTTGGATCTGTCCTCGTTATGAACCAAACTGGAAATCTGAGCAGTTGACCTCAAGTTTAGCTATCTAGACCTTGATGTACTGTTTCAATCCATGTCAGGCCACACCAGTGCGACACGGAGACAAACTCCAAGACCCATATACAAACTTCACGAGATTGCTTTAACTCGGACTGCTCTTAGGACAATATGCTTTATTTGTCAATCTTACCTTAATAAAGGTGAGGGGACAAGACAGAGAGAAAAGAGAGCCAGGCACAAAAATAAAAGCACAGCATGGCCTCACTAATATGTTAAACTTTAAAAACTGAACACATAGAAACAGTAAGAAAGACAGGTCTCAAGAACAGGGATGTGGGGTAGTACTGGTCGAAGGGTAGAGCCTGCAGTTATTTAGGATGGATAACTTTAGACACCTACTTTTCATGACAGTTATAATTAATAAGACTCATTATATACAGGAAATATGCGAAGAGAGTGACTTTTGAATACATAAACAAAAAACAAGAGATAGATATATTAATTTGACTGTAGTAACTGAGTATATCACCAAGTATATCAGAACATTACATTTTGTATCACAAATATATACAATGAAGAAATCCATGGTTTAGAAAACGAATACTTAGGAAAAAAAATTCTCCATTAAGCCAGCATACTCAAGCAGTGTGAAATTTGCGCGAGGAGAGAACAAAGACATAAAAGAGAAAGTCCAAAACAGATCACTTACATTTTTTAATATTTTGGAATATACTAAATCATTTCTTCTCCCTTGTGATTTATGTTCCTTCAGTTCTGGATTCCCTTTGGTAACTGAGACTTATAACATACACAAAGCAGAAACGCAGCCTCTACCAGGGGTGGAACTGAATCCAGAGCCTTCACACTGAGCTTCAGCCGCCACCCTTTTCCAGAAGTTATTATCATTAGAATCATCATCATCGTTATTAGTATTATTACTATCATTATTACCATTATTTATTTTGCGACAAGTTCTCACTAGGTAGCCCAGGTTGGGCTCCAATTTTCAGTCTTCCTGCCTCAGGCTCCCAAAGTGCTGGGATTCCACGGGTGTGCAGCCACGCCCAGATTCTGTGGATAAATATTTACGAAGGGATTATCGACTCTTCTAAGTTACTAAAAACCTGGAAAAAAAATTTCGTCCCCTTTCTTTGTCCCAGGAAACGCACCCATTGTGATGCCCCCTAAAGCCAGCGAATTCATTTTCCATCTGAGACATGTTTATATCCACCAGGGGGCGATAGAACACGGTTTGAAGGGCACAGACGTTGGTGTGCAGGCTCTTGAGGAGCCATTTTTGCAGAGGGTTACTGACTCGTCAGACTGCATCACAGATGTCAGACATTGTTAGAACCCCACTATCTGTTTACAGATAATCCCACTATCTTTAAGCTGAAAGCTGCCGCAGCTGCCATCTTAGTGTAGGGATGGACTGGAGGAAAATCAGAAGATCCCGGGATAATTTGAAGTGCTAGAGGAGACCCTGTGTGCTCCTTGCTTTTGAATCACAGCCTAAAAGGCAAGGAGTGGGAAAAAGCCAGATCTTCATTCTTGATCAGCCCTCCTTTCCAACCCTCGGGGGTTGCCATGGCGACTGCACCTTCTGATTTGCTTTCAATTTAGTTGAGTAGGTCACACATCACACGCGCGCACACACACACACACACACACACACACACACACACACCCCACAAGGGGTCACTGTGGCATTGGCCATCCATCCTTTTGCATTTTGCATTCTCTTGTTCCTGCAGGGGTGAGGTGCGATGGGTGAGGTGCGATGCCACCTTCCACCTCTCACATTCCTGGACCAGGACACTCCAAAAAAGGAGAGGGATTTAAATCCTGTTACTGGCATATCTGTCACAGGGAAATTCCCAGTTCTCTAGTTCCTAGGGTTGCTAAGAATCAAACCATAAGAAAATATTCCTATGCCCATGGCTTGCAACTTAGTATCAATCTCAGATTAATCAGTTTTGAAACATAACTAAAAATCTAATTTACCTGTATGTTTGCTACTTCTTCACCTAAGTGTACAACAGTAAGTAGAACGTCATGAAAAATTATACAGGTTTACTGGTCTCTAAGCCGAGGCTTGTAGTTTAGCCATACTGAATACAAGTACATGCCAGAGGTAACCACTGGTTTCCCAGCTGTTAAGACCACCGTAGGTCAGTGACCACTAACATTTTCAGTTTCCAAAGCCTCATAAATATAACTGTTTGTCAGTTTTTGAGAGGGACCTTCTAGCATCAGTTATTCTATAAAGTCCATTCCAGTTTATTATTTTATTTTATATAAATTCGTAGATCTTCATAGGGTTTAATGTTGATGCATCAGCCATTTGTATTAGTTAGAAACCTACTTCCCTGCACATATATTTTCCTTAGCTCACTATTAGCTGTTAAGAATCCTATCGGTTCTTTCAAAGAAAGGAGATTTCAAAGAGAAGTAACTCATAACTGAGATCACCAGGGAAGTCTTTATCAAGGAAACTGTTTGGATGATGTCCCAAAAGATGACTGTGGTTCAGAGAAAAACTGATAAACATGTAGAGTAGAAGCAGCAACAAGACCCGAACTCCACATTGCCAAAGGGGTGTATGTGAGAAGAACAGCACAATTCAGGCTGCTGAATAATGTAATAATGTAAGACACACCACCCACACAACAACAACAAAAAATAATTTCAGGTGGATTAAAGTGAAGTATCATGGCTACTTTGTTATATTGCTTGGAGGAATTACAGAGTTTGAGTTTTCCCGTGGTAAAGTATTTGGAATAAAATTGCTGGCACTGATTGGAAACCAGTCCCCAAAGGGCTTATGTGTCAAACTCAACATAGCCTTAGGGAAAAAAAAAAAAAAACACCACT